GTGGGGGGGGGGGGGGGGGGGGTACATATACTTGATATCTCTATCTGACCTCCTTCACCATCCATGTGTGTGCTTTGTACCTCGTGCAATGGTGCAATCTTTTTGTGGATACTATCAACTTCCAAGTTGCATTTTATTCAATTGCATCAAGTGTATACTATTTTCTCTTCATTCTTTTAGCTTTTTCTGGCGAAATAAGTATTGGAACACATTGGTTTACTTTATTTCCTTGCAGAATGCATATGGTTCACTGCACGGAGGAGCAGTTGGAGATGTAGCAGTAAGGGTAGCAACTGCCTGTGCTCGAACTATCGTGGGAAAGGATAAAGAGCTCTTTCTTGGAGAATTAAGCATATCTTATCTCTCTAGTGCTCCTCAAAATGTGAGTCTTTATGGCATTTGTTTTGTCCTCTCAGCATTCTCTGTGTTAATGCACTGCTTACAGCTTAAGCATCAAGGAAGAGCAGGTCAAGATTTGTGTGGTCTTTTTTCCTGTCACCTGCGACAGTGCTGAGTGTGTGTGTGAATCTTCTTACAGTTTTGTAAATACTGCACAGGTGTTTGTTGTTTAACAGCAGACATGACGAACCCATATGGAATTTTAAGATGAGAAAGTCACAGAACTGACCTAGACTTACAAAGTAGGAACACAGCCGTCATGTTGAATTGTCTTGTTTTAACCATGCTACTCCCTCCATTTCATATTACTTGGCCCTTGTTGACCTGACACACCCCTTAATAATGTTTCGCAACTCTAAATTTGACTACTACTACTTTATTTAGTTACTTAATGGAGTATTAAGGATAGAAAGGGAGAAATATAACAAAGCTCTCTTGATTTCATAAAATGGACAAGTAAATTGAAACAACTATTTTTAGTATGGGGTCCCATGTAATATGAAGCGGATGGAGTATTTGTTTACTGAGGTATAAAAATATATTTGTCAGCATGATAAGTTAGCTATTTGTCTGCAATATTTATGTGTTGAGGTACAATACCCATCCTGCCTTTTCACTAATTTATTTCTCTTTTTGGATTGGGGGTACTCACAGGCTGCAGTAATAGTTAATGCATCCATTGTTCGAAGTGGAAGAAACCTGACTGTAGTTGCCCTGGATTTTAGACTAAAGGATTCTGAGAAACTGTGTTACATTTCTCATGCAACATTCTATCATGTGCCTGTAGCAAGTTTATGAACCAGACCTGGTTCAACACATTAAGCCAAAGACATCCTGCTGATAGGTATATCAGTTCTTCAATATGTATCCAGAAAACTTCTCTCGCCTTTCAATCTGTGCATGTTGCCTCATATTTGAGTTCGTCTGATTATAGTAATCGCGTTCCAGGAATCTGATACACGTCCAATTTCTTGTCGTTGACAAGCTTTGGAACTATAAAACATTACTTAATTAAATTTAAGATGCTAATTAAAGTACTTTTTGTGGAGCTTTGTCAAATTAAAGGATACTACATTTCTCTGCTACTATGATAAACTTCTTCAATAAGCTTGGTTCACGATGTATTGACGTGTATCAGTTCCAAAACTTATGTTCCCTTTGCCATTGCTTACATGGTACTAATTGTATTATGGTGTTCAACTACCCTTTCAACACCTTAAAATCGTGCAATATTCTGTGATTGTCAAAAGTAATGTCATGTCTGTTTAACATTTTGCACTCGCACGTACTTTTGAATAAAAATAACTACAGCAAAATCTCTTTTTGTTGACAAACAGGTTGAAAGACCAGGTAAGTCACAATGTTGGAGGGTTTACAAAGTTTCAGAACTTCATTAGAATCGGGAAAAGTTCAGCTGTATTGCTGGAGTATGTGTTCCCTATCAGAGGAGCTTAGAAACGTCTATGTAAATAAACTGTCTTCGTTTCTGCGAAAAGTGATAATATATGTTGGCATCATTGTCCAGTTACAAACTCAGTAATGTTTAGAAATGTGAATGGAAGGCAACCCATTAATCCAAGACAATTTCAGTAAACATCATGTACTTGTACCTCTATTTTGTGCTAGGGCTGTGCAAATTTCGGGTCACACCAATAAACCAAACTGATAGTAGGTTTATTGAGTTAATCGTTCGGGTTATTGGCCTATGATTATTGGATTATTGATTTGGGTTCGGTTTGACCACTTTCCTTAATTGATAACAAAAAAGTAAAGTTAACCCTTTTATTGTTACGTACAATCTATCGTTTGCACAAATTTGAAATATTTATTAGAATTGAGTTGTTGAATTTTATGAGATGAACATGTACATGACTTTCTTCTATCAACATTTATAACCCAATAATGATGCTGATCTTTAAGAGAGACAAGATATTATTTCTGAACACCATCATCATATGCTTACGAGAGGTGCGTGTTATTAGTAGTAAGTACTATATACTGCACAAAGAAATTAACTTTTAAAAAAATATTTTTCTATTTTTAATAAAAAAGGATTAAAAAAACCCAACAAACTTATGTATCAACAAAATCTTATCGATTAATCAGGTAATAAAATTTTATTGGCAAAAAAAATAAAATGATTTACATGCTACAAACCTGATAATGACCACAATTGAGCTGAGGTGTCATAACTAATTAGTGGGGAACATTTGCAAAATATAAATGAGAAATAGAAATACAGTAATAACTAACTATGTACTGTTCCATAGCTGGAGAGTACAAGTAAATCGAGCGGACAGATTGGTTAGGTGCGGTAAGCGCGGAGTTGGGGGACCACAAATTCATCAGTTAGGTATGTTTATCAGGTTAGGAAGTAGGAAGGCAAGAAGAAGATAGAATGGGGGAAGAGAATTCAAAGCGGAAGAGTTCATACACCAAAGACACAATCATCTCGGAAGAATTATGTGAGGAGGACATTGCTCTGGTTGATATCCTCTTCATGCACGTGCTACAGGACGGTTACAACATTCCACCTCAATATCATGATGTTAAGGACTCCTTCTCTCAAATCATTCGCAGCTGCCTCAAGGTCCACAGTATCCACCCTGGAAAAATCTCCTGCATTCTATCTGTCAAACCTGCAATCTTGGTAATATATGATTTTTCGGTCCCTTTTTAAAATTCTACGCTTATCAGTTATGTCGAGTAAAGAATTTCCTTAATTATTGAAGGGTTGAGTTGCTCGATCTTTTGATGACATGTATATATGTAGATCACAGGTTCGATTTTGCAGAGATGGTTAAGAGTCCCTTATATGCTTTTGATTGAGCTGATTTTTGGAGTCACATTCTCCTTTTACACCCATACTAGCCAGGATTAGTTCGTGTGTAATTAAGCCCTTTGAATTTACAGACATATAGATTCTTTTGGAATAGTAAATTTCAATCTTCTTTTGCAGAAAAACACAACAGCTTTGTTTGATTTGTGCTTTTGTTTTTTTTCTTCTAGTTGCCTTCCAAATTACATGTCTTTAAGTCTTGTATTTGCCATCTGATGAGTGTGCAACCTCTTTATTGTAGAATGCTTATCGTACCTTGCATGGAGGAGCAATTGGAGCTGTCGCCGAGAGGGTGTCAATTGCCTGTGCCAGAACTGTTGTAGGAAAGGATAAGGAACTCTTTCTTGGAGAATTGAGAATGTCATATCTTTCTGCTGCTCCATGCAATGTGAGTATTAAAGCTATCATTTAAGATCGTCTATGTCACTAGATTTTATTGTATAGTAACAAATTGGTAGGAGAAATTGCATATCATAAAAGGAGATCTCATTCTTTTCTCTTTCCCTATATTTATTTACCTTTATATTTGTGTCCTCTCTAGGCAGAGGTGGTCATACACGGGTCTATCATTCGGAGTGGAAGGAACATAACTGTAGTTGCAGTTGATTTTCGGCTCAAGGACTCGAGGAAATTGGTCTACACCTCGAATGCAACATTCTATCACATGCCTGTCGCAAGTTTATGAACTTAAACTCAAACACATTAAGTAGATACATTTGCTAAACACGTTCAGCAGCTCATATTGCATCACTAGATGAATTTGAGACTTAGACTCTTATCTGTAATCCCCAAAGCAATATTTACATCTTGCATTATCTGAGATTCCCTTATTTGTCATCTGTATCATCTTTGTAATCAAGTGTTGCTTGATGAAATACACAATTGAATCATGATTTATTGATATAGAATGAAGTGAAAGTCATGTACATCACTCTTGTATTAGTGGTTTGTCCAATGAAACTCTACTTTAACTGGACTGCTGTATCACTACTTATACTGCAAGTCTGCAACAATGACAAGGAGATGACAGATTTTTTTTATTTACAATTAATGGCATCCGTTATACTGGACGGCTTAAATGTAACTTCTGATGAACACAGCCTCAATGAAATAGAGGAGATCTAGACAAATAAAGGAGCATCAGGCACTCTTTTTGTTAAAGAAAATTGCTAATGTCTCATTATTCCTCTCACTCCAAAATGTTTATCTGCGTCCTGTTAACACCAGATAGAAGTTCACCTGAGGACTAACTGTACAATGAGAAAATGATGCAGATTCTGGAGAGATTCTTTATCGGGCTAGTGGCTGGTGAATCACTGTTCAAAGAGCGAGCAGCCCAGTTTTAATGATTAGAGTGTTATTACTTATAATATTTGATGGCTTTAGTTTGGTAATTTACTGACTTGATTTTTTGGATTTGTATTCCTAGCGAACTGGAATATAAATACTGTTTTTACTGAACTTTCCTTACTTGAAGACTTGGTGATGGACATCCCAGAAGTTTTGCTCCTTTACCCGGTACGGAATTTAAAAAATAAATAAAGACTTTGAAATATTTATCAAATTGCCCTTTAAAAAGTAAACTCACTTTTCTCTCTCCTCATAAATATATTGGAGTATTATTTTCAGATTAAGTGAGACCAACAAAGGTAAAAGAGAAATTGTACCTTTAAATACTTACCATATAAGGAAATGTGACATTCTTTTTGGGACCGACCAAAAAGAAAATTGTGTCACATAAAATAGGACGGAGGGAGTATTTGTTATCACAAACCAAATGTTTTCAAGAGGATAAAGACAAAATTAAGTAAAAGTAAAAAAAATGTTTAGGCTGGAAAGTGGAAACCAGTGTGGTCAGAGGCGGATCCAGGATTTAAAGGTCGGGGGTGCCATATCGCCTTTAAATAGACATGTTCATTAAATCAATCAAATATTTAATCTATTTTACCCTTGTAAATAGCAACTTGGGACTGTTGTTCGGTTATTCATCTTTTGATTTTATAAAGACAAATGAATCGAAAAAATAAATAAATTATGACAACTTAGCTTAAAGAAAAGCCTTCCAACAATATTCTCTATAATTGCACTTGGTTGAATATTCATATTTTAAATACATTTAGTGATGACATAGTTATTTATATTTATTAATAGTTCACGCTCTATGCAACATACTTAAATAAAGTGGTTGAAAATTTTTCACATGCATAATTTCAGTAACAGAAACGAAGTCTTATGTTGATGTTTTGACTCACAATATAAAAATCTTAAAAGGCCAACGAAATCATGTGAGATTTCAGTATAATTTTTATGTCGTCCTTTAATGCAACATGCATTTTATTTTGTAATTTAAATTTGACAAAAAGAAAAGAAAATTTTGGAGGAGGAGAAGATTTAAAACAAATCTAGTCATTTGTATGACTAAAAAATATTTCATCAAGGGTAAAAGAAAAATACAAATTAAAGTTGTTTTTAATAATAGAAAGTAATATTCTTTTAAAATAATCTAAAAAAGAAAGTGTATCACATAAATTAAATTGGAAAGAATAATATTTTATGTTTAAAATAAAAAAGAGAAAAAAAGTCAATAAAATACAAACTAAGTGTTTCACAACATGTTAACATTTGCTGATTATATTATAAAGTAAAGCACCTATCAACATGTTGTGCTCATAGCCTAATGTAATAGTATTTCTAACTACTCCGACATTCCAGGTTCGAATCCATGTAGTGATTCTATTTTTTGCGGAAAAGAAAAGAAGAAAAAGAATTGCAGCATAAAATATGTACAATTAAAACGTAACCATCCAGATTCGATCCCACATGTTTGGGGCGAGAAACTCAACCTGCCACCAGTGGCACCATGCTTCAATTTGTTCTCTGGGTGGCAAGTTTAATATTTATCAGATATCCAATTCATATATACATACATAAACGGAATTTCAACCGAGGTCACTGGGTGCCGTGGCACCCCCACGACTGCACATAGATCCGCCCCTGAGTGTGGTCCCGTTACACTGCCTTGTTGATTGGTTATGGCGAAAAAAGGGTCAATGGAATGACAGTGTAATTTCTTCCGATAAATATAGCTTTGAAATTTGTTGATTGGATAGCAAATTGCTTAGGTATATACAGTTGAATCTTTATCAGGCAAGGTCAAGGTAGATGGGGGAAGAGAGTTCAAAATCCAAGAGTTCATACACCAAAGAGACAGTCATCTCCGAAGATTTAGCTGAGGAGGCCGCTTTCTTGGTGGATCGTCTCCTCAGCCGCGTGCAACTCCACGGGGACAACTTTCCGGCCCAATATAAATCTTTCTCTGAACTCACTCGCGGCTGCCTCAAGGTCCACAGCATCCATCCTGGCAAAGTCTCCTGCATTCTATCTGTCAAATCTGCAATCTCGGTAAAATATTTCGCCCTTTGTTGGGATCTGATTTTCACTTCTGTTCAATTTTTCAGCACATACAACTCTGTTTCTTTTCTTTGGAATTTTCACTTCTGTTCAATTTTTCAGCACATACAACTCTGTTTCTTTTCTTTGGAATTTTCACTTCTGTTCAATTTTTCAGCACATACAACTCTGTTTCTTTTCTTTGGAATTTTCACTTCTGTTCAATTTTTCAGCACATACAACTCTGTTTCTTTTCTTTGGAATTTTCACTTCTGTTCAATTTTTCAGCACATACAACTCTGTTTCTTTTCTTTGGAATTTAGGCAAGCCTGAGCCTTAGAGCAATGGGGGAATTGTTCTTTTGTTGACATTTAGATCACAGTTCAAGGTGTGAAACCCATTTTCAGAAATGGTTAAGAGTCTCTTACATGGTTTTGATCAATCTTAACAATCATACTAGCCAGGATTACTTCGTGTGTGCTCCCTTTGCAGTTCTTTTGCAGAACAACTTTGTTAGATTTGTGCTTTTGTTTTCTTCTAGTTGGATGGGCTTGCCCTCACTCTTGAGTCTTGTATTTTCCATTTGACAAGTGTGCAACCTCTTTATTGTAGAATATTTATCGTAGCATGCATGGAGGAGCAGTTGGAGCTGTCGCAGAGAGGGTGTCAATTGCCTGTGCTAGAACTGTTGTAGGAAAGGATAAGAAGCTTTTTCTTGGAGAATTGAGAATGTCATATCTTTCTGCTGCTCCAAGCAACGTGAGTATTAAAGCTTTCATTTAAGCTCATTTTACCTCAATGCCTCTAGATTTTAGTGTATAGTAACAATATGTAAGATCAAATGCACATCATAAAAGGAGATCTCATTCTTCTCTCTTTCCTATTTATTTGCTTTTATATTTATGTCCACTCTAGGCAGAGGTGGTCGTAGATGGGTCGATCACTAAGAGTGGAAGGAACATAACTGTAGTTGCAATTGATTTTCGGCTCAAGGACTCGAGGAAATTGGTCTACACCTCGAATGCAACATTCTATCACATGCCTGTAGCAAGTTTATGAACTTCAACTCAACACATTACGTAGATACATTTGCTAAACCCGTTCAGCAGCTCCAGCTCATGTACAATAGCAAATCATTGATATAATCTCAAGACTCATATATGTAATCACCAAATCAATATCTCGTATTATCTGAAATGCCCTTAGTTGTCTTCTGTATCTTCTTTGTAACTAAGCGTTGCTTGTTGGAATACACAATTGAACCATGAATTATTGAAAGAGAACGAAGTGAAAGTCATGTACATCAATCTTGTATAAGCTGTGTCCAATGAAACTCAACTTTAACTGCAGTGCTGTATTACTACTTAATACTGTAACAATGACAATGAGATGACACAGATCTTTTGAAAAACAAAAAAAGGCGATGCAACTAATGGCATCTGTTGTACTACACAACTTAAGTGTCTCTTCTGATGAACACAGCCTCAATGGAATAGAGCAGATCTAGATAAACAAAGGAGCATAAGGCACTCTTTCTGTTAAAGACAAAATTTCTAATGTCTCATTACTCCTCAGTTTGTGTGTCTTGTCAACACCAGAGAGTTCACCTGAGACGAAAAAACAATTATGATATCAAAGCTATTGCTTATTGTACAATGAGAAAATGATACTACCAGAACCAAGAATAAGACATTCTTTAGCATCAAGCTAGTGTCAGAATATTTGATTGCTTTAGTTTGGTAATTTACAGTAAATCATATATATTATGTTCCCAATGCACAAACTATTTGTGTAGGAATTATACTACATGGATTGTTATACAGTAAATAATAGAGTGATGCATTGATTTGTTATGCGATGAATAAAGAATACAACGATTGTAAATACTACCAAAATCAAGAACTCGCTTAGTACACCATTACAAATACATGTGTTCTTATCTACCTCCTATACAACAATACACCAATTCCCCAGTAACTCTACCCATCAAATTCAAGCAAATGGAAAGAAATCACTAATTATTGTTTTTTGCTTTTAACTGGATTTGAACCTATATTCTAATGGTCTTCATTCCGGGTTCATTGACCGCTACTCCACACTCTGGATACTCTTGATTCTGAAGTATTTACATTGATCTACACTAGACACGAAGTGAGACTATAGGCTCCCATAGTTGATATACTAATTTGAACTGCACAAATAATAAATGAATGTTTCCAGAATCTTATAGACTGTTATTGGTCATATTGATACTGTTGGAACGATGAACAGTGTTCAATTAGCAAAGTGTTCTCATTTGTCTTGCAGCCATACTAGTTCCTCACCTAACTATCAGTTTGAGATGCCAAGAATATAGAATACTTTTGGGATTGATATTTTCTATCACCAAAGAAACTCAAATTGAAAGACCACACCACTACCATCATATGCCATAATATTTAAGATAGTGATGTACTTAGAATCTAGGAGAAACTGTCACTGAATCATGCCTCATGGGAAGATAGCATTAACAAATTCCTCAGCATTGAACGGTTGGAGGTCATCTACACCTTCCCCAACACCTACAAACTTTACAGGAATACCAAGCTCATCAACCACACTGACCTGCAATGCCAGAAGTTTGAGATCATTTAAGTAGTTGCAGTTTATCAGTTTTTAGAGAGAAAAGATTAACCACAACAAAATCATAAAAAGAAAAATGAGCTAAATTTGGAGAATTCAAAGTATACCACACAGCCACCTCGAGCAGAACCATCAAGTTTAGTCAATATTAAGCCAGTGATTCCAACAACCTAGAGAAGAAGGCAATTTCATAAAGAACCTTGAACTAATTAAAGTAACATATATAGGTTCAGAATAACGAGCTGACAAGAGTCATTACCTCGTTAAACTCTCTTGCTTGAGGAAGCATATTTAAACCAGTAGTTCCGTCCAGTACAAGCAAGATTTCCTGCAAAAGTTCAATATGTTATTCTTACATTCATGACAAGGGTTTTCCATTCAGCATCAAGAGAAGTTTAGCTCAGTCTAGAAAGAATTTAAGCACAGCAAATAGAATGGGCGGGAAATTGGATTTTAGATGAAAAAGAGGAGCCAATAACTAAGAAAGGAAAAAGGATAAAACAACCATGGTTATCTATACAAAAGATTCCAATAACTTTTATAGGGTTTCACTATTTTATCCATTCTTGTTTACACTGAAAAGATATCAACAAATACAATCTGACTTGATCTTCAATATTGAGTTCTTTTGTCCTTCAAAACAACTCGTACTCCTATCTTTCCAAATGCATCACCAAATAGCTGTATAGTATTCCATGCTCTCTGCAGATGCTCTGAAATCCCTTGAAGAATCAAATTTATCTAAATCCAGCTATTTTATTTTTCCTTGAAAAGGGTCTTGTATGCTTTGAATCCATAACATTGGTACTTCATAATGTGGGAATAAATCTTGCACCAAAACTCACATAGATACATCATTACATACTATAGGTTTTTTTTAAAAAGTACTTTTGTGTATATTATAGGTTTTAGCAGTTTGAAGCCATTTCAGTGATGAGGCAATAGGGGGACTCCATTGTATGCTTAAACATCACAAGTTCTCCAAAAGATGGGACAAGCCATGACAGATGTTTGACAGTATAATAAAGAAAAAAGCTGAAGAGTTCAAGTTTAACATACATTAGGTGCACCGTTAACAATTTTACTGACAACTTTTTTGCATGCCACCAATTCCTCCATCAAGCTATAGTTGGTGTGCAAACCTGGTTAAAATTTCAATTTTGGTTACTCAGAGATACTCTATAAGTGTGAATAAGAAAGGTGTTTTCATATTCACTAAACTTACGGCCAGATGTGTCGCATAAAACAATATCGAAACCCTCTTCCTTTCCTCTTTTAACAGCCTGTGAAATAACTACTCAGGAAGAACTTCAAGATCATGTGGTTATGTAAAAGTTTCCACTGACATTATTATTTGGGTTAATATCTAGCGTTGCAATCACATGTAGATTAAAATTGTACTTTGGTACCTGACGATGCCTTAGCTTTCTCTTTTTCAGCAACAACAATCTCACAACCAGTCCTTTCAGCCCAAATTTCTAACTGATCGCTAGCAGCTGCTCTAAATGTATCACCAGCTGCTAATAGTATCTGCAAAAAGATCACAGAATGGAAGTGTGAGAAGCAGGAGCTATCCTGTCATGAGTAGAAGAAGAAAGATAATGCATCTAATTCTAATTAAGTGGCAGAGAAGAATGTTTGAGTGAGTTTTTCAAAATGTAACAAATACTTTATCCTGAGAACCAATTTCCTTTGTGATTAAATATCAAAGGAATGTAAGAGAATGAGAGATTTACACAACAAGAATACGTAAAGATTACTGGACTGTAAGAAAAACTACCAACACTAGTCCTCAAGGTGAAGGGAAGGATCATGAAATGTTTCAAGTGGTTAAAGTTTAATAATGGAAAGCATATCCCAAGATATGTTTACTGTTATGAGTATAAAGATTTGCAAAAGGTTGGAAGGCAGTCATAGGAATGTCTTCCTTTGTTTCGGCTTAACCAAGATATTTCTTGACAGAATTACTCAACCTAACGATTGTGTCAGTTTCTCAAACCAACTCAAGAACATAAAAGCTTTCAACACCACCAATTTCGATAGCATGTTTCCATATTAGCAGATGAGGAGTCAGTGCCTGGAGTCCTAAAGTTTAAGCTTCAGCATATGTGACAAGTCTAACTTTGCCAAAAAATTTCTTTAAAATGCAATGCCATACTTTGATCAAAATGAATATTGGTAATTATTGTTTCAAACATAACCTAACGCTCACTGGAGAAATTTGACAGGAATTATTTGTTAATACACAGTATTCATCAATTTTAGTGATACAGAAAAGTGGCTTGCGCTAATAGTTCTGTAGTATAGCTGACAGCTACAAGATAACAGTTTGCCTCACCTTTGCCCCTTCTCTCTTCAACCTATTTGCCAACTTTCCTGCATTAGTAGAAAAAGAGTTACAGTCACAAGTTACTGCCACTTTTAAAATTGTTGACTATGTGATGGACATCACAGAAATTTTTGCTCCTCTTACTACTCATTATTACAAATCAAATGTTCTCGAGAGGATTAAGAAAAAAAGGCAAAAGTACTACTCGAATATGCAATAAAAATGGATTTTGGAGAAATTTCACTGTTGCCACAAACATATAACAACTTTTCTTTATTGCACATTGACTCATTTTCCAACCAATAATATGAAGGTTTACCATGAAAACAAAATCAGTTCCCTTACCTAGAGATGTTGTCTTCCCACCTCCATTGACACCCACAATCATGATTACTGCTGGTTTCCTAGTACATAAAAGCAAGCACCAAATTTTAGTTCACTCCATTAAAAGACATGCTTCAGATAAATGTAAAATTAAAATTAGTAAAGCAGTTGAAACCTGAAGCCCAGACTGAGTTCTGTTTTAGGTGCTTTACTAGTCAATAGATCCAAGATACTCTTCTTTAGAACACTCTTCATTTCATGTCATTGGATTTCACAAAATCAACGCATCCATAGGCAAGAAAAACAGAAAATTAACAAACAAGCAGTAAAATAAATGTGTAAAACTACTCTGCGTAGAGCATGAGCAGTCATTAGTTTTCCCTGAGAACAAATTGAATTAAATGGTTTAATTTCTAAAACAGCATTGCATAGACCAGTGTGTTACTGGAAAAACTGAATATCTCATCATGCTTACTTTTATCTCACTTCCTGATTTGATTTTCCCTGCATATATATCCTCCCGCAAGCTCTCCACAATCTTTATGGTAATCTTCGGCCCAAAATCAGCGACCAACAGAACCTGAAACCACAGTTAAAGATTGTCTCAATCCTCAACACTTGCATGTGCCGGAATATAATAACTCAGTTAGCTAAAATAACTGCACGATTAGTATTTGGACATAAATATACTACGTAATGCAAGACACCAAATAGTGATACTAATCTCAGCACAAGGATCGGGAACATTCATTTGAGACAGTTTCTATATCGAAGAAAGTTTTCTTTCCCCGGAAAGTTCATATGTAAAGATGTAAAACTTCCCATTCAACTCTAGTTCATCAAATAACGCGTAACTTTATAATATATTAATTCCACCTTCTACAGCAATTACAGCACGCCAAAGGGAAGCACTACGCCATGTTGAGAGAAAGTCCAAATTATTATCGAAACCCTGTTTCAAATAATTAAGACTGTGACATAATTCTGCAGCAAATAGTGGGCAAAGGTGACGATCATCAGGAATGTACAACGAAAAATCATAAAATACCTAAGGAACCACACAAAAAATTGCTCAGACAAGCAAAAATAACAACAGAAACTCAAAAAGAGTAGTCCCCTCATCTCAATTTATGCAA